AGATCAGTAGTGTTTATATACTTATATACTTTTTTAAATAATTAAAGAAATACATTTTTTTTACTTTTAAATAAACGCACTCACAGCAGCTTTTAGATTAATTTTTGTTCCAGTGGCACTGAATTGGTTGTAATTATGATTAGTTGTTAAACAGTAAATGGCCTGATCTTATACAACACTTTATCAAGTCCAAGCACTCCAGAGCTCGTTACATTACAGTAAACTTACAGACTCACTAAAGCAAGTGTTTGATTTTGTTTGCTTCAAATTTTTTGTATTCATATTTATTAAACGAGAGTAAATCCAAACATTTTTAACATGGCAGTTTTATTACATTTGGGTGTGTGTGAAGAACTATCTGGCCATAGTGTCAGCAAAAACTATCAGGCATAAGAAACTGGTCACACACATAAAGATGACAGAGGACGAAATGGCTCCATTTAGCAAAACCCCTAAAACAAGGAAGCAAGTTAAAGAGAACAAACACTTTAGCTAGAGACTTGTTGTAAAATACTATTAATCAACCACAAAAAAAACAGTGTGATTATTTTTCCTTATAAGTTCCGTTCTCAAAGAGTAAATGTATTATTAGTAACAGTTACGTAATTCTTGAAGCTAAGACACTTTGTTTCTGGTTATGAAACTGATTCTTACTCCCTAAAAACAGGTCACACTCATTCAACAACTTACTGAGATTGCAGCCTCTTTGCCAGGAGGAGAGACTGTTTCATAACTGAGCCTCAAATGTTAGAAGAGTCAGCAAGTTTGCTGATGTTCTTACTTTAACAACCGACAGAAAGTGGGAACAGTAAAAGTGTTGCAGTTAGAGGCGTGAACACAACTTCTGAAGCTAATCTGAATCTAAGTCTGTTTCATTAAATAAAAGGGTTCAGCAACAGCAAAAAGATTATTCAAAGTATTTCTTACAAAAAGTCTTATTACATACATAAATGTGAGTTTATTTTCATGTAGCTGGTGAAGTTTCAGAGTATTTATTTATTTATTTATTTGTTTATTTATGTTTTTGTGCGGGGGTGGGGGTCATAATAAAACTGGTTTACAGTCAAGAGTGAGACAGATGAAGGTGGTTAGTAAACAGCAAATTAGTGCATTATCACCACCTATGGGTATAAAGCCCAACTACATTTTTTTCCCCTCAGCTGCCTGCACCGGCCCAGTGCCGCACTGGCCCAGTGAGGCCCCGACCCACCGGGAAAAGTCCCGGTAATCCCAATGGCCAGTCTGCCCCTGGATGAAGAGAGTGAAGCCATCAAATTTCCTGTTTAATAATGTCCATGTTTTTTTCATTGAGGAGACTAAATTAGGTTAAAAAAAAGAAAAATTACTTGCAATAATTAAAAAAATGTTCTGAGGTTTCAAAGAAATTGTGAGTCTAGAATTGTCCAGATCCTCACACAATGAGACAATCAAGGTTTTCAAGGATACTGAATTATTATGATGATTTAAGTCATTTGGTGTTTTGAGCTCAGCCTTATTGCTTCCCTGAATCAGACATTCAAGGCTTTATTTTGACATTTGACTGCTCTAGATGTTTAGATCTATTTAGACTCAATTATTACAGCTTAGCTGCAACTTAGCTGCAACAGATTAAATGAAGTTCGCAGCTGTAAAGGCCATGTTTTTGCTTGGTGAACCCATCCTTGATGCTAATGCTGCTATTATTTTAATTAAAATATCAAAAGTCCTCAGAATGGATGCACCACATGACTTTTATTTGGATGGAGCTTTGTGGAAAAATGTGATCATAAGATCTTTAAAAACAAGAGTCAGATCCTCAATATCTCTGTGAAACAGCCAGGTTCATGCACCTGATCAAGATGTCTCCTTGGTACCTTGTTTTGGTTTGTTTTTATTCATAGTCAAGAAACTAAAACACACTAATGATGCAAAATGTTGATTCTTATCTAAATAAAAAAATAATAACAAGACTTTCCAAAAAAGATCATTTGGATTTGGGGAAAATGATATCTAAAACTTACGTTTCCTTTCTTTTCAGATAAAGAACAATTCATCTTTTACATGACTTTTTTTTTTAATTTTGTCTCCTTTATGTCCTCAATCTCTAAAATTCAACCAGGCTCCAGTTTTCTTGAAACTAAGCAGCACAACACATTAACGTCTCATGCAAAACATTTGTAAGGTTAGTGGGGTGGTTCAAGAGAGTTCAACACAACAAGCAAGATTAGAATCTGCAGACTCAAGAAAAATTCAGAATATTTAATTTTTTTAAACTTTCACTTCACCTCAAAGAATTTAGCAGGACAAGTGCTTTTAATTCAGCTTTTTTATTTTATTGTTTTGGGGAGTGGGGGTGATCATGAGCACAACTGTAAACAAGATTAGATCAAGATGAGGTTATTTCACATACAATAGTTGTTACAATGTGGCAGTGTTTAATAACAGACAGGAGAACGA